ACTTCATGGTCCCTTGTTTGGGTTTCTTAATTTTTAGCCTGTGTCTTCTCATGGAAGGCAGCACTTCCCAGGTACAGTCTGTCCATTGTCTTGCCATTTTGGGGGTCAACACTAAAATAAAAAAGCTCCATGTTGCCATGACATCAGGATCTCCAAGAGGCCTAGGAAAGCCCTCTTCCCCCATCACAGGAGACAAGAAATAACCCATCCTTCTGATGAAGCCCCACCCCATGCACCAGACCCCACGGAAGAATAACATAAAGGGGTCTTCAAAAGTTCATGTTTCAAGTTTTAAAAAAATTATTTATTTGAAAGGCAGAGTAAGAGAGAGAGAGAGAGAGAGATTTTCCATCTGTGGGTTCACTCTCCAAATGGCTGCAATGGTCAGCGCTATGCCAGGTTGAAGCAGAGGTCTGGAACTTCCTGCAACTCCATCCAGGTTTCCCACATAAGTGGCAGGGGCTCAGGTGCTTGGACCATTTCCTGCTGCTTTCCCAGGCACATTAACAGGAAGCTGGATCAGAAGAGCAGCCGGGACTTGAACCAGCACTCTGATGTAGGATGTGGTGTCCCATTTTGTCACAACACCAGCCCCAAGATTTCAAAATATTTTTGCAAAAAAATGAAGTCATCTTTTTTTACTTCCATTTTTCCATGAATTTGTTGAAGTCCCCTTGTACCCACCCAAAACTCCAGCATCATTTCCACACTAGAGGAGTAGCTGCAGAGGCCACCAACCCAAATGAACCATGAAGCCCCAGAACTCACATTTGCTAAACCAGGCTTTTCCGAGGCCAGGATGATGGAGTGCAGAATTTCTGAACACACTTTCTACAGCAGAGAATAGCAGACTTCGTGGTCCATTAAGCTATCATATACTCTTACTTACAATACTCTTCAATGAAAGTGTATTTAATTAGCCGTCTCATATATAGAGCCTGCCTGTTCGATAAGAGCAATCAAGGCAGGAATAGGGACCACCACTCCTACCCAGGATTGAGGGAGCGAGGGATTTAGGAGCCAGAGTCCAATTAGCCTGGGCCCAAGAGAATGCTCTAGAACTCAGTACAGTCAGGTGGTTAAGAGCCCAGGCTTTTGAGTCTATAAGACCTAATACCACAGCCTTCTCCGATTGGCTATGTAGCTTCACCCATGGCCATGTCACTTTGTCTCAATTTTCTCATCTGTGATATTGGAATTATGATGATATCTTCTTCCTGGGAAACAAATAAGACAGAAAGCTGAGCACAGCGCCTGGCTCATGCTCAATAAACGGTGGCTACTGCTGGTGGAGTGGTGCAGAGTGGGTCACCCCAAGGACCTGGGACCTTGGTGGAGAAACAGTCAGAGTCACTCAAGGAGAAAAAGACGAGGATGGAAGAGGTCTTCGTATGTCTGTTAAGGACACTGCTGTGTCTCCTTCCTTCCCATAGAAGCCACTGCTGCCTCTTTGGGCAGAGGAACTCAGAAAACAGAGTCAGGCACCACCCCCGCTCCTCCCCCCCGCCAACCAGCTTCCTCCCTCTCATGAATGCACAGCCCCTGAATCCTTCAACCCCCTTGTTAGGATGTTAGAACCAGGTAGAGGAAAAACTGCACTTGTGTGTCCCCCTATCTGACCCCTGGTGTGGACAGGGGTAGATCTGGTAGAGACGCTGTGGGAGCAAGTGCTAAGCCTGCTGCCCAACGCATGGGGCTCTGTGGAGTCCTCTCTTCAAGGGACACAGTGGTAAGCATCCATCTTCCATCCAGCACTGCGGTGACCAAACATGAGCCTGTCCCAGCCTTCTCTGGTCGGGGCAGGGAGGTGTCTAGTGGGGCCTGATGTTACTACAAGTGACAGAGTTTTCAAAACTTTATAGGTTTCCAAAGGTCAGGCTCTTTGGTGGTAAAAGTTTTACAGACCAGTAAAAATTTACTGCAGAAGATGAGAAACACAGCTGTAGCGGAAAAGGCTGGGGCCAGGAGTCTGGGCGATCCCAGTGCCCTCCGTAACCAGCTGTGGGGAATGAAGGCAAGTCAGGGAGGCACTCGGGGCTCCACATTTCAACCTGGAAAATGGGAACAAGAAGAGTGTTCATGCGCGGACATGTGGATAGAGCCCTCCTCCCCATGGCTCTGGTGGTGTCGGACACAGAGGGAAGGCCCCAGCCTGTGGATCCTGCAGACTCAGAGCATTTCATTACCCAAGCTGGAGGGCTGCCATGGGCGCGTCCGCCCCTGCTCCCTGGGAGGAGCCTGGCCGTCTGGGAGCAGAGCTCTGGAATCCAATTAGCCAGGCCTCTGTCTTTCCCTCAGCCCCACCAGCCAGGCCAAGTTCATCAAGGCCTCGCACTAATTCTTATTTTGTTTAAGAGGGGCAAAAGAGACTCCACGCCTTCATCCGAAGCAATTTACACCCGGCCACTGGCCACGGCTCCCACTGCCCGCTGTGTGTTGTGCCATCAAATCCATTACTAGGAGATTTCTTCAGGGGAAACTTGATTGCTGCTCCATCAGAGGCGCACGCAGGCAATACGTCTCCATTCAGGGCCGTGGCCTGCCCGGCTCCCTCTAATCCTGTTACCTAAGGAGCTAATTCACTAATGCACACGCTGTATGGAAGACAGCCGCTTCCCTCCCTAACCCAATTGGACAGCCCCAGAGGATCCCAGGAGCTCAGTGCTGAAAGAAAAGCTTAGGGCCCTGGGGGACAGGGTCTTCCGATTGTCACTCTGCCTCTGCGAGGGTCCTGGCCATGCCTGTGGTGGGCAGCCCACTCCCCAGTGTGGACTGCCCACTCCCCACAGCAGCGTGGTGGGAGCGTGGGCCATACTCAGACTACCCTGGCCGTGGCGCTGCCACTGCCCTCTGTGCCCGCTCATCCTGTCCCTCCCTACCCCCATCTCCTTCCATCTCCTTTCCTTCTCCTCCCCACTCCTCTTGGCTTTCCTTCCTCTCCTGCCATCTTGTCTCTGATTCCCTTCCCATGTCCCTTTTATTTCCCTCCCTGCTCTTCCGTGTCCAGACGCCCCCCTCTTTTACACTGTTGGACCTTCTGTGTCTTCTTTCCTTTTCCCTCGTTATGACTGTGGCCCCTTTCAGAACAAGTGTGGTTCCTAGTGCTTTTTCCTGGCTCTCTCTCTCTCCAAACTGTTCAGTTCCACAGAAGGCAAATACCCCGGGCCACACTGGCCTAGGCTTGGAGGAGGAGGCTGGGGACAGCCTCATGGATAAACACAGGACACCAGAGAGTACAAAATGCAGCATTTGGGAACGTGGTTAGCATGGGGAGTGGGGGTGTGGACAGCCGTTAAGTGTGTTCTTTAATGATGAAGTTATAATGGTATGTGAGGGGACCCCACCAGTGACTGGACTGATGCTGTTCACAGATTTCATAAAGCACATGAACAAGAGGAGAGATTGCCCTAGAAACCTGCAGCCGACTTCTAGACAGCAACAGCCATGGAGGGAGGTAAGCAGGAACTTAAGAACAGTCATGGGGTTTACATCTGCATTTAAGAGGCCAGAGAGCTCTGCCTGAGCTTGGGCTGCTTTGGGACCCCAGGGTGGAGGTGAGGAGGCAACGTGGCTCTTCTCACCTTGCCCCTTCTTGCTGTCAAGCCTGGGCTCTGAATGCATTCATTCTGGGGGACGTTTGACTCTCAATTCTCTGGAAGTCTGGTGCCCCCTGGTTTTACCACTTGTCCACTCTTCCACCTGGTCTTCCTCCTGACCACCACAGCTCCTCCACTCCCAGTTCCTGGAACTGACTTTCCTTGCCTTTTCTGGACTGTGCAGCGAGGAAGCACATGACTTAGGAGAAAGGTAATGCCAGCTCTGGGAGCTTGACTGCACAGTCCCAGCCAAGCCCTGGCCAACGGGCACCTGGCCATCGGGGGACCCCATCAAGGACTGGTGCAGCACTGCACTATTTCACAGATCTCCTACTGCACTGAACACAACAGCCCTGACTAAGGTGGGTTTCTTTTTTTTAACTTAACCACAATTCAAAAAATTCTTCCTCCTTCAGTGATCCATATATTCACCATTTACATTTATTTTGTCACTGAATTCTGTTAGATTGATGCAGGTCCATCTTGCCGTCAACACAGCTGATGCAGAGTTCACCCCAATGGGGCACTGGGGTGGGACCCCTTCTTCGGGAAGCTCACAGCAGCGCTCACCTGTTTAACTCTCAGGGAGAAATGAAAACACTTTTTCCAGAAAGCCACACTGAAAAGGAAGGTGTCAGTAATGCTTATACACAAAAAGAAGGGAGGGACACAAAATTATATGCTGAGTATTTTTATTTTATGGCAGACATATCACATTTGGAAATGATGGCCAAATATACAACAAAATATTAACAGTGGCTGTCTCTGGATGATTTTAATATGTCTTCATATTTTCCACAAGGAGCATGTATTCCTATCCTATTTCTACTACACATGTTAACTACCTATACTAAAAATGTGTAAAAGTAAATATGTAAATATGTAGTATATATTTACTGTTTAAATATGAAAATTTGCATGAGGACCAAAGCACAGACCCCAGGGACCTGGCTCTGTCAGCACAGGTACCCAGCCACCAGCTTGGCTGGGACACTGAGTCACTCCTGTCTAACGCAGCCTGCCCCAGCCCAGTGCCACGGCAACATACTTGTCGAGGGACATAAATGACAGTAGCAGGTTGGTGCACCTGCCAGCAGACAGGCTGCACCCTTGCTCCACGCACTTCTGCAGCCCCCGTCCCCACGTTCCTTCTTAGGGACGCATGACCAAGCCACCTGGCTGAATGGGTGGACTGGGCTTCTGGACATGACATCAGCCGGGCGGGCTCCTCTCTCGACAGTCCCCTCCCCATCCCTCCCGCCCTGAAACCTGATCCAGCTGAAGGACTGATTGCTGGAAAACTTGGCTGCTCTCCAACCCTGGTGGCCCGGGAGTTCAAGGTACAGGCGGCAGCTGTCCTGGAGAAGCAGGCGAGCTGGGACATGAAGTAGGTGGGCGGCGGCAGGCAGACTGGCCCTTAGCGGGACCCGCCCTGAGCAGCCACTCCAAGGCCGTCCACGAGCGGGAAGCTCACCATGCAGCCGTGGCTCTGGCAGGCACTCCTGGCATTGCTCCTCGCCACCCTCCTGACACAAGGAGAAGGTAAGGGGGCTTTAGGCAGCGTGCAGGACATGGCTGGCCATGCAAGGGGCTTGGCTCAGCTTGCAGGGTACAGCGGAGGAGGATTCGGAGTGGCGTGGCTGCAGGAAGGTCAGCTGTCCTAGGCTGTATGAGCACGAGAGCATTTGGAGGCATCCCGGTCAAACTAGAGAGGTGGAGTGGTTGAGCCTGGGGTCAGAGGGGAGCAGAGCAGTAGCTGCTATCTCAGACAGACACAGGTGCCAGGACAGGGCGCCCCTCTCTTTGCCCTGCCCCTACACTCCTCCCATATTAGCTACCAGGGACTTAAGGGCTCATTTGGTTCATCCCTTCCTGTTATAAATAGGAATGCCAGGGTTCAGAGACGAGGATGATTCACTCAAGGCCACACAGCTTGAGAGCAGCAGAGTGAGGACCGGGACTAATCTAGTTCTCTTTCTTTGCCATCACTGTTTTTGCTGCTTGGGTTCTCTGGGCCTTGGTTCGCTAAGGTTCCCTTCCAAGACAGAGCTCCAAGAACCAAAGTTCTCTGCATTCCCCACCTTGAACCTGCTGAAGAATTCAGGGAGTTTTAGTCCCAAAGGGTCTCTGATTCCTTGTGTGCAGACCATGTCCATCCCTCACTGGCAGGTCTCTGGGTTGGGTTGGAGCACAATGGGAGGGAGGCCATTCAGGGGCTGGGCAGGCATGAGGGGCATGGGTAAGATGATTTCGTGGGGGAGGAGAGCACAAGCTGTAGGTGGTGACTGTGACCTGAGCTTCCTTGGCTAGGGGATGCTCTGACACTCCCAGGGATGGCTCTTTGCTCTGAGGCCTGCGGGGATAGCAAAGAGGCATGGATCTGGGTTTGAATCTCACTTCTTCCACTTGAAGGGCACAGTACTCACGTTTCTGAGTCTTGGGGATCCGTATCTGTAGAATGGGTATCAGGATAGCCACTCCAATGGGCTGCTGTATGATTGAAATGAGGAATATGTTAGCAGCATCATTGCATAGGAGAGTCTCAGCAAACAGTCTCCTGCCTTCCTATTTTGTCCCTGGAGGCCGCCTGCCCTGGAAGCAATCTGGTTTCTCCTGGCTCCCTCCATATGTCACCCTGATCTTCTTTCTAACCCCAGCCAGTGTGCCCACAGGACAACTGTATGCAGTAGACATGGCAAAACCTCCCCCTGGAGCTTGTGTGTGCTTGGAGGGAGGAAGGAGAGACCTCCCGCGTGGTTTGGAAGGAGGGAGAAGGATGTCAGCTTTGCTGGGTACCCCCCCACACACCAGTTTCCGGCTGGGGTCCAAACGGAGCAGGGAGCAGTGAAAGTGCTGACACTTGACCTTGACTGAGGAACAGTCTGATGCAGCCCAGCGGCTGAGACACTGCGCACTTGGGGCCACACTTCCTTGCAGCCCTCCTGCCTTCAGAATCACACCTGGTGACAACAGCTGGGTTTCCTTTAGCTCCAGGCTCCTCACCTGGTCTGCAAAGCCCACCTACTCTCCATGGTTCTCAGCCCCACCCCCCGTCACCTGCTCTTGCAGGCTAGCACCCTGCTCTCATGTAACTGTGCGTAGGACACCCCCCACGAGAGAGTCCCTTGAAATTTTGGTGGGAAGCTGCAGACAGCACCCTCCAGTGATGGGGATTTTAGTCTGTGGAGCGTATGTTGTGAGGTGGGGATGGCAGGGACACATTCCTCTGATAGCTTACACACCAGGGCAGGAGGACCAGGAGAAGACCTGAGCTCTGGTGTCCACTTTGAACTGTTCTCCTTCCCAGCCAGGCAGAGAGCAGGTGCCCAGGCCTGGAACAGCAGCAGGCCGGCTCTGCTGAGGCTGTCAGATCACCTGCTGGGCAATTATAAGAAGAGCGTGCGGCCCGTGCGGGACTGGAGGAAGCCCACCACCGTATCCATTGATGTCATTATCTATGCCATCCTCAGTGTGGTAAGCCCTCAGCCCCCTCAGAGGTGGACCTTTTGGGGGTGGAGAAGGCCATATGAGGCCAAGCTGGGTAGCACAGTGGACCCTGCCAAACCTATAGTAACCTGTGGCCTGGCCCCATAGCTGAGGATGGGTTGCAGCACCCACACCAGAACCTGGGGTCATCGGTGTGGCCACATCTTCTACACCCTGATAGCCAGTGGTCACTTCCCCATGTGGTTCTTCCCATGGTGCATACTGGCAATCATCTCCCTGTGTTGATTTCACAAGGGCTAAGAACGTTCTATTCATTTCCATGCCCTTGGTGTTTTACACGGGTCCCTGGGACACAGCAGGTGTCACTAAATGGTTGAAGTATCACCCAATAAGTCAATTAATTCCCTTGTTTACAATTGTCATGGTAGGGTGCACCACTAAGAAGAGATCAGCCACTGTGCAGGGACAAAGCAAGAGGCAACTTCAGAGATGCAGTGGCACTGTGTTGTGGCAGGAACCTGCCTTCACACCTGTGGCAGTCAGTGCACCTACCATGACACAGGATCAAGTCGCTGTGTTCAAATGAAACTGGCTACTGCAGCTTCAGGAAGGGAAATGGAATTAGATGGGGTGGCAGGTAGTTTATTTATTTGAAAGGCAGAGTTTTTGGGGGGAGGAGAGAGAATCTTCCATGTGCTGGTTCACTCTCCAGTTAGCCCCAACAACCCAGGGCTGAGTCAGGGTGAAGCCAAGAGCCTGGACTCCATCCAGGTCTCCTGCAGGGGTGCAAGGGCCCAAAGACTTGGGCCATCTTCTGCTACTTTCCCAGGAGCATAAGCATGGAGCTGGAGCTGATGTGGAGCAGCCAAGGCACAAAGAGGTGCCCATATGGGATACTGGCATCACAGGCAGCATCTTAACCCTCTCTACCACAACACTGGCTCCTGTGAATTTTTTGCTCTGTGTGAATCTGTTCCTCTTGGTTTTATACCAAGACAAGCCATATATAACAAGGGCACTTCAAAGAGGAAAATGGAATTAAAAGTATCTTTGCTCTGAAATGAAATTGAAATTCTTGTATATGAGGGATCTTTAAAACATTAATGGAAAATGTGTCTTGTGAAAAAACTATGCATAAATTTTGAATTTCTTGCATTAAACTTTTTTTTCCTCAAACTTTTTGAAGTTTCTATATGGGTATATATAAATATTGCTTAATTTAACATATAGCATATACATAAAATGTAATTTAATAGGATATAACATATATACTTTATATTATATGAGGGGTCTTCAAAAAGTTCATGGATAATTTGTATTATTGAAAAACTATGCATGGACTCCTACACTTTTTTACAGCAAAATAAACTAATTTCGTGCATCCATTTTCCACAAACTTTTTGAAGTATTTTCATATTTAACATACAGAAAGAGATAAAAAATAAGCATTATGCCTTCTATTATAATCTTCCGTTATTATGTATTATATCCTATTTAACACAATAAAGATTATAGTAGTGGGTATACATTATGTATATCACGTATATACATTTTTTATAGATATGTGTGTATACCCATACACATGTACCCATGTACTTACTTATATTTCCACACATTCGAGGTAGAAAGGAAATTACTGTAATTCTTCCTGGTTGTACCCTGTAAAAGCCGACCTTGTCCTGGCTGGTCAGGCAGCTCCTGCCTGTGCACTTCTCCCAGCCCCGCTTCTTCCCCTGAGGTCCCCCAGGGACTCGGGACACAGGAATCAGCGTCCCTAAGGGTGGAAGGCCCTGCGTGGCCACCCATGCAAGCTCCTTTTCCCTTCCTAGGATGAGAAGAACCAGGTGCTGACCACCTACATCTGGTACCGGCAGGTGAGCAGACCTGCCTCCTCCCACCCCTGTTTCCTGGGATGGGGGCTGCCCTCTGTGCTGAGGGAAGGGATGGGGAGCTCCAGAGGCACGGCCTGCCTGAGATCCAGGAGTCAGGAATCTGCTCATCTCACAAACCGGGTGTGAAAGGCCGGGCAGAGAGGAGCGGGGCAATCCATCCCCTCCGAGCTCCCTCGGGTCTCTGAAGTTCTTCCCAGCACGTAAACAGGTGCTGGTCCAGCCTCTGTGGCAGAAACTCCACCCCCACCCCATCCCCTACCTGTGCCTGGGAGCTCATGAGGCAGTCGCTTCATTTCATTTCCTGGAGAAAGCGGCAGACAGATGCCTTGGCTACGAGTGTCAGGACGAGAATGATCTTACTTTGGTGAAGAAGAGGAGGATTGTGCTATGAGAGAAGGAGCTGGGCCTGTGGAAACTTGAGGTATCCTTAGGGCTTAATTCTGCATGGCTGGAGGGTAGAATTCACAGGATGGTATGGCCTAAACATGGAGCTGGAAAGACAGGCGGAGGCCTTTGTTGGCCATGGTGTTGAACTTCATCCTAAGGACAATGGGTACCACCAAAGTATTTAAGGCAAGGGAGTGATATAACCAAGTCTACATTTTAGACTGGCCATTCTAGCGTGAAAAGGCACTGATGAAAGCCTAACAAGAGCCATTTCTGCCCTGTGAGGTGGATGTCATTTGCTCCATTTACATACCTACAGCCAGATACCCAAGAAGATGCTTGTCTGAGACCCGGCCAGTGGGTAGGGGACTCCTGATGTTAGAAGTGGCTGCTTCCCCCAGTTCAGGCTCTGTCTGTCCTTGTTGTCTTCATCCATGGAGAGAACATGTGGACAAGTGGGGTGAGATGCTAATTTACTGCAGAGTGATTGGCTGTCACTGACACCCAGATTTTCCTGGGAAAGTTGCCCACCTGTGGTCTGGGCCCAAGCCACAAAGTTGGCCTGCATGGCTGGCGCCCTTCCCTGCGACGGAGAGCTGCCCATGACCCCTGCCCGCATGGCTGGCGCCCTTCCCTGGGACAGAGGGGCTGCCCGTGACCCCTGATGCTCCTTCTCTAGTGCTGGACAGATGAGTTTCTCCAGTGGAACCCGGAGGACTTTGACAACATCACCAAGTTGTCCATCCCCACCGACAGCATCTGGATCCCAGACATTCTCATCAATGAGTTGTGAGTCCTATGTGTCATCAGAGGCTGGGGGTGGGGACCTGAGGGGTGAGGAAGCCAGGGGCTGGGCAGCAAGAGAGCTGCTGGTGCATTTGAGATGTCCCAGCCCGACTTGCAGGCTGTAGGTCATGTCGTAGGTCACGTTAGCTTGAGCCCATATTTCCCTTTGCCTATTTCTTTTTTTACTTTTTTTTTTTTCTGGGTCTGATGTTTAAAGTCTGTGCTTCATAGTCCATGAGCCCTTGTTACAGGGAAAAAAGCCAGTGAGCAAACTCACACTGGACTCAAACAGCCTAACGGGGACAGCCACATTTGTAAAGGTGACAGTACTGCAGGTTTGGAGCTGAGGACATGCCAAACCCCCAAGTCACACAGGCGCTTGTCAGGCCACAAAACTGTAGCTCCACTGCAAACTGGGTCTCACCAGGCTTTACTTCCAGCAGCCAAACACTGTCCCATTTGATCTCAGCCAAAAGACTTCTCCCCATCCCTGCAGGTTCATTCCAGTTCCACCACGTGGGCTTGAGTTCAAGGGCAGGGAATGTGGCTGGGGAAGACAGCTGGAAGGAAGGTGACAGATGGAGCCAGTCACCCTCCATCCAGTACCCACTAAATTGCCCAACGCCAGGGAGCGCCACCAACATTTGCCAAGGGCAGCAGTGGCCTTGAGTCCCCAGCCCCCCGGCCTGCTCAGGCTGGAGAGGTTCTGAGAAAATCATCATTTCTGGCTGGACCTCCAGTTGCAACAGTGAGGCAGCCTTGGTCCTGACTTCTCAGATGCCTGAAGACTGAGGACCTCGGGCCTAGCCTACTGCATGCACCGTGGTCACTCACGAGAGCCCATGGGGGTTCCGGTGATCCCAAGGGAGTGGGATGAGGTCTTGCAGGGATTTTCCGGCTCTCCTGGTTCTTTCTCCAGAGATGATCATTCCCCTTTCCAAGACCCTCTAGGGAAAGGAAGCAAAAAGAAACCAGATGTGGGAGGGAACACGTGGTCCTGCTCTCCCACCACAAGGCTGGTGGTCCTAGGAGCTGAGCCTGCCAGCCTGGGGAGGGTGACAGCATGAGGGTAGCTGGGCAAGCTCCCTATGGGTCCCCAGATTCTTCCCTGCCTTTGTGGCTGGGCTGCCAGGGGCATGAGGGAGAAATGTGCTTTACTGCTTGCAAAGTAGCCTTGTTGTGGCAGGTCAGGGCAACGTGGAGGCGGACGAAGCTGTCAGGGTGGCCTATGGGGTTGCTCAGAGCTCTTCGACTCCCAGGGCCTGACCTGCCTCTTGAGCCCCCCAAACTGACCCCTCTTCCCTGGCCAGTGTGGACGTGGGGAAGTCTCCCAACATCCCGTACGTGTATGTTCAGCATCAGGGTGAGGTCCAGAACTACAAGCCCCTGCAGGTGGTGACCGCCTGCAGCCTCGACATCTACAACTTCCCCTTCGACGTGCAGAACTGCTCGCTGACCTTCACCAGCTGGCTGCACACCAGTGAGTATGCATGGCGCGGGGGCGGGGCCCGGGGACACCTGTGTGAGGCGCACTCTCAATGGTGCAGCCTCCCTTACCTGCTTACCTACTTCCCCGTCTCCTTAATGTCCCTGGGTTTCAGTTTCCCCATCCTCCAAATGGGGCGAAGTCTGCTGCCCCTCTCAGTTGCAAGGATTTGACCAGTGTGACCGACTGCCAGACAGCCAGAGACGCTTCTTGTCCAATAGCACAAACAAGATCTGGGGCTAAATAGCCCTCTGATCTAGCACTCCGCTTTATCCCCAGCCAAGGCGCCCTCCTCCCCTGCCCAGGTGTGTCAGCCTCCTTCCTGGTCTCCTCCGTTCATTCTTGTCCCCCTTCCCAGCTCATGCTCCTCACAGCAGCTGGTGAGATCTTACTAAAATACAAATGTGACTGTGTCACTGAAAACCCTCAATGGCTTCCCAGCACGTGTGGGACAAGGCCCAAATCCTTGGTGAGGCCCTGCTCCCTCTGACCACTCCAGCCTCATGCTCCCCTGGGCTCTGCTCTGCCCAACTGCCTTTCTTTCCAGGCCCAAGGCCCTCATGCTTCCCCTTTGTAATAATGCTGTTCCCTCTCCTAGGCCACCTGGCTTCCCCTCCGGCTCCTCCTTCTGCCCCATGCCCAGCCTGGCCATCCCGTTCCCCTTTCTGATGGCAGCCTAGGTGTCGGCTCTTCAGAGAAAACCCTGTCACTGCCCAGACCAGGCCATCCCTGCTGCCCAATCCTAGAGCTCCCTCTTCTCTCTGCTGCACCTGTCATTGTTTGTTCAACGTCCACTCCCTCTGGGATGCACAGTTGGGACATGGTTTCTTGTCCTCCGTTAGATTCCTAGCACAGTGTCTGGCATGAAGGAAGGTCCTTGGCCGACGTTACTGAGTGGATGAAAGGTGGACACTCACTGGAGGGCCAACGTGAACGCTGCCTGACAGCAAAGCGTCCCTGATTTCTAGTCTGATTTATTCAGTGCATTAAAGCTTAAATTATGGCAATACATAGGCCCCTCCACCAAAAACCAGACTACATATAGGGCTAAAGGTTCCTTTGACCCCTGTCATGGATCCCAAACTCTCCACCAACTCTCTACCACAGATTTCCCACTCATGTCAGTGTAGAGCCCATGTAATACACCCTTCCAGACCCTTTCCCTTGCATTTATACGCATTTACCATCTATGGGAAACAGGTGGAAGGTGTTGAGTGCGTTTTCCCTTACGGACCCGTGCAATGTTGTTTACACTACTACATACTACCACGAGATTCCTTCTACTCTACAAGAGGTCCTAGGCATTCTTCCAAGTCAGTGCATGTTTCTCCTATATTCTAACTGCTGTAGAATGATTCAGATGCAGCACAGTTTATTAAGCATTTTACTGGTTGTGGACGTGTAGATCTTTTTCAATATTTTGCTATAATGAACGTTCATGTCCTTACTGATGCACATGACAATGTGTTGCTCAAGTATAGATCCACAGAGGTGGAACTGCTCTTCCACAAGTGAGGACTCTTCTGATTTTCCTAGTTTATTTGCAAAGACAGTTCTAGCAAAGCGAAGGTGAAGGATAGCTTCCATTCATTTTATTAAAGATAATTCACAAAGGGAAACTTAACAGGTGTTTGGAAGGGGTGTGTGTGTGTGTGTGTGTGTGTGAGAGAGAGAGAGAGAGAGAGAGAAGGGGGAATCATTTTCTCGTGAATGGTTTGTATGGCTCTCTGCACTGTGCTGTGCGTTCCTCCAAGGCTTCACTGGCCCTCACTGCCTGAGTCCGGGTTCCCTGGGCCGCTGCCTGCCTCGTGCCCCACCATCATGGGGTCTGGCAGGCTCCAAGCACTAGGGTTCTGAAACTGGCCAGATTTCTTCTCGCTCAGTCCAGGACATCAACATCACCTTGTGGCGCTTGCCAGAGAAAGTGAAGTCTGACAAGAGCGTCTTCATGAACCAGGGCGAGTGGGAGCTGCTCGGCGTGCTGACCCAGTACCGGAGGTTCAGCATGGAGAGTAGCGACTGCTACGCAGAAATGAAGTTTTATGTGAGTGCGAGCGGATGTGGGTGGGATGATGAATACAACCCCAACCACTAGACCTTCACACCCAGGTAGACTTGAGGCACACTGGAAAAAAAAAAAAAAAAAAAGAAAGAAAGAAAAAAACATAGCCCTTTTCCAGCTCCAGGGCCACACACAGACCCTGGAACTTCCATGAGTAGATGGGGAAACCAACTGACTGTTCCCTTACTTATCTGTAGTAGCCACAAGCCTGCATCGGGAGGCAGAACACGGGGTCTGCTTCCTTCTCCAAGCAACCCACACTGAAAGCCCCATGAAGCAAGAGGGTCTGGGCTGGAAGCAGTGGCTCCTGTTCGCCCCAGGCTTCTCACAAGCTCCTCTCCTGGTCCCAGGTGGTCATCCGCCGGCGGCCCCTGTTTTATGCGGTCAGCCTGCTGCTGCCTAGTATCTTTCTCATGGTCATGGACATCGTGGGCTTCTACCTGCCCCCGGACAGCGGTGAGAGGGTCTCCTTCAAGATCACGCTGCTCCTGGGCTACTCCGTCTTCCTGATCATTGTGTCCGACACGCTGCCTGCCACGGCCATCGGTACTCCTCTCATTGGTAAGGCCACTCCTGAGGAACGAGCTCAGTCGGTCTGGCAAGGACCCAGCCTCCTCCCACCTCCTTTATGTCTCGTCCCCCTGCCCTGGCGTCCACAGGTGTCTACTTTGTGGTGTGCATGGCTCTGCTGGTGATAAGCTTGGCTGAGACCATCCTCATCGTGCGGCTGGTGCACAAGCAAGACCTGCAGCAGCCTGTGCCCCCCTGGCTGCGGCGCCTGGTTCTGGAGAGAATCGCCCGGCTGCTTTGCCTCCAGGAACAGGTGCCTTCTCAAAGGCTCCCGGCCACCGCCCAGCCCACCAAGGCAGATGATTGCTCAGGTGAGAGAGGGAAGGAAGAGTCACACATGGAGGGGGCACTTCCGGCCAGAGGCCTAGAGGGCATGGCATGCCGAAGGGCCTGGGAATCATCGGGTGCTGTCCTGCACAAGGCACCCTCCCCCACCTTTACTGGGAGGCCCAGCTTCAGCCGAGGCATCAGTCTGGACCCTTTCTTCACTTTCCCATCCCCGCATCAGCCTGAGTGTGAACAGAGAGGTAGGGCATGGCAGGAGATGGGCCCTCTGGCCTGAGTGGTCTTTAGGACATGGATGCTTTAGGCCAGTCACTGACCCCCTTGCCTCGTGGGGTTAAATACTGCAGCTGGGATCTCGGAGACTCTCTCCTTCAGCTGGCCCAACGCCCAGGTCCCTGAGAATGCAGACACCAACGGCGCCCAGAGACTCCCGAGGTGCAGCTCCTGTCCCCTGAGGAACTGTCACGGCTGCCATTTGCTGCCGCTGACAGTGGCAGCAGTGGATCTGCTGGCTCACTCTTCCAACCCTTAGTGCCAGGCACGTTGTGGGCACTTTCTGCACATCTTCACCTGTGGGATTCCCGCACTGCCTTTTCAAGTGAGGAAACAGAGGTGGAGAGAGAGGTTCAATAACTTGCCCTAAGCCACGGAGACAGAAACTGGTGGAATGGTGATTTGAACCCAGGCCCACTCAACTCTAAGCCTGCGTTTTTAAGCCTCCTCTTCACCCTGCTCCTTCTTGTTCTTCCTCCCGGCTGGGGCCAGGTCTTTTATGTGAGCCTTTGGTCCCTCTAGGAACATCTCATGTGAGCCAGAGTGAGTCCCTCAGCCCATTGCTGGCTTCGCCTGATGACAGCAGCCATCCTTGAGGGCGTCTTCTGGTCCAGGGGGTGTTGGAGTCAAGGGGAGGAGGCCAATGGCTCTGGCGACCCCTCCCCTTCTGAGATGTAGCAGGGAGAACAATGCACTGGGAGTCCAGATGCCTGGGCATGGGTGGTCTCACCACCAAAGGGTGCTCCAGCTGTGTGACCGCAAGCTGGTCACTCACCCTCTGCGCTCCAGCAGTGTCCCATGAAAAGCAGGAACTGAAACTACTCTGCTTCTCTCATGACTGTTGTAGGGCTCAAATGAAATAGCAGATGTCAGATTGCCAAAGACTGCCTATAGGCTACAAACAATGCACTAGAAGGATGATAACCAACTTCTTATTTGGTGCCCTGGGAAAGGAGTGCAGGCTGTGACCCGGGGCTCCTCAGTGGCACCGGCTCTTTCAACTTGTTTACACCAGCTGGTGGGTGGGCAAACAAGTGAGTTATCCTCTAGACGTTCGGAGTTTGATACTCATCATGATAAATATTTCTGCAGGTTGTAGAAGCGTGAGGGGTGGCATTCAGGCCATGCCTCTGAGCCTCCCTCCCTTGCCAACGCTCTGTCCTCCTTCCAGCTATGGGAAATCACTGCAACCACCCGGGCGGGCCCCAAAACCTGGAGAAGACACCCCGGGGTAGCGGCAGCCCTCCCCCGCCACCACGGGAGGCCTCGCTGGCAGTGCGCGGGCTGCTGCAGGAGCTGGCCTCCATCCGCCACTTCCTGGAGAAGCGGGATGAGATCCGAGAGGTGGCCCGGGACTGGCTGCGCGTGGGCTCCGTACTGGACAAGCTGCTCTTCCGCATCTACCTGCTGGCGGTGCTGGCCTACACCATCACCCTGGTCTCACTCTGGTCCATCTGGCAGTACTCCTGAGCGGGTGTGCCCAGCAGGGGAGCGGGGATGGAGGTGATAAGGGTGAGGCTGGAGGATTTCACCCTTCAGGGCCCCTGGGATGTCAGGGACATTCCAGAGACACAGACCCCATTGTACCCCCCAACCCCGCTTCTAATGTCAGTTCCCCTCAGCAACCTGAAGCTTCCTCCAAAACTTGTTGATCAAGATTCTTACTTTGTCCTCCCCTTCATCTACCTACCATGGCTTTAAAACACACTACCTTAGACTGGGAGAACCCAGCATCCTCCGCCTTCACTCTACCCATCTATACATCAGGCCTCAGTTTCCCCATAAGCACTTTCCTGAATTAGGCTCTTTGGAATCCTGTTCCTCTTCCCCAAACTTGTCTTTAGGTTAAAGGCAAAACCAACACAGGTCTGATATCCCTGTAGTAGGCTTATCCAAACCCTAGAGTCTCTCCTTTGCTTCACCTATGCACACATCCCTGGACATTCATCCTCCGTCCGATGGTGAGGGTGGCATGGGGTAGTAAAATGAGATGAAGGGGTTGGTGCTGTGGCATAGCAGGTAAAGCCACTGCCTGCAGTGTCAGCATCCCATATGGGCATCGGTTTGAGTCCCGGCTGCTCCACTTCTGATCCAGCTCTCTGCTATGGCCTGGGAAAGTAGTGGAAAATGGCCCAAGTGCTTGGGCCCTGGCACCCATGTAGGAGACCTGGAGGAAGCTCTTGGCTCCTGGCTTCGGATCAGAGCAGCTCCAGCTGTTATGGCCAATTGGGGAGTGAACCAGTGGACGGAAGACCTCTCTCTCTCCCTCTCTGCCTCTCCTTCTCTTTCTGTGTAAATCTGCCTTTCAAATAAAAAAATAAATCTTTAAAAAAATGCAATGAAGCCGAAAACTCTCTTCTTGACCATTTATCAGCAGCTTTGGGAAAAGTTTAGATGGGTGGAAGAAGAGGTTGAAAGTTACCGGCAGACAGAAGATTTGAGAATTACCCCCCATTTCAGTCATTGGATGCTTTCTGGTTCAAGGAACTGGGAGGTGAAATGGTAGCTGTACCAAAGAAACAGTAGAAGATGGGGTGTGAGGGTCAGCACCGTAAGCACTTACCATGGAAAGGGAGGGGGCGCTCAGTGCTGCCACCATTCTGGGCTCAGGTCTCTGTGAAGCTGGCAGCAAGCTCTCCCTGCAAGAGGATCCTGCGGCAGACAAGAACTTCAGCACCACGGTCAGCACCAGCTGGTTTGGTATTTGTGGTATTTGGAGAACGCCAAGAAAGCCAAAAAGCTTTACACATGTCCTCTGGAGCTCTCAGCAGCCAGCCTGCATCACACACCACCACCCCCCCACACTAAGCAGGCAAGGAGGAGGCAGAGTTAGGGGAATGGCCTTTGGTTTCACTTCTCATATCCTGGCCCATCTCACAGATTTCAGAGCTTAAGATGTAGTGAGGAATACCCCCGATGCCATGCTGATCCCCACCATGGGACCCATCTTTGTGTCCTGACGTGTGGGTGAGGGCCTTCACTGGCTCTCCAAGGCTCATTCCAGCCTCATCCCTTCTCATCTTGGTCTCTGTCGCCCAGAGGAAGGCAATGGTGGAGGGGGATGAGCTGCTGTCCGGGTAAAGGGAAAGGATTATCTGGGATGAATTCTACAATTCCCAATGCCTCCCGTTACCCCAGGCCAGCCAATCATAAGCTCCTCAGTATGGAACACCTGAGACTAGATGAATCCCTGACCCCAAACTCTGCAATTCTAGTCCAGAAGTCTTCTGGGAGGCTGGGTAGAGGGCAGCACCACGGGGTCTACAGAGCTTCATGTATGAGGACCCCAGAGGCTGAGGAAGGGGCCTTATCTGGCTCAGCTTCTCCCAGTGACTCCTCCCCTCAGCCTCCCCAGCATGCAGGAAAGCTTATTAAATACTAACTGGCTGCTTGTTCCTAAGGCAAACTGCTGCCTCCACCCTAGACACAGGTACTTTTGGTATTAGCTTTGCTTTCATTTCTATTTTGCTGATGGTTAGGAGCTGGGTCTCCCAGCACAGAGTAGGAGGTTGTAGGGCTGGGGATTGGCCCCCACGCATCTCTGTTGCCTCCTGCTGAGCAGACACTGGAATCGCTCATCTGTACTCATTCAGGATGACTTCTATGGTCCACATTTCAGGCCTGGCCTTAGAACCGAGAGCTGCCATGCCACCAGGACTTGCTCAGGCCAGCCATACTGTTAGGTGTCTTGGGCCAAGATAGAAAGGTGGACAGTCCAGCACTGTTGATGCACCACTGGTCAGTAAATGGGTGGCTATCGACAAAGTGTCCAACCGGAGAGCTGGTAAGACACTAATCAACCTATTGATTCCCCATCTCCCCCTCCTTACCCTTCACCCACAATCAATGGGGCAACAGAGCCCAGCATTGAGGCAGCTGATTAACTGACTCGGGAATGAGCCGCCACATGTAACATCTTCTGCTCCACTAGCCACATCCAATCAGCTCATCGACCCAGTATCTGGGCTATGCTGCCCCGGGGTGGGAAACCGAGGCCCAGGCCAGCGAATCGCTCAGTGTGCCAAGTCCTGCCCATCGATACCGGTCTTGTCCTTCTTCCGAGGGGACCCTCACTCCCTCTGGGCTGTGATCACACGTGGAATCCCCTCCCACCTGTTACACCTCCAGGAACTTGCTTCCTTCCCTCTTCTTGCCACTTCAGTCCATGGGCTCTCATTCATCCTAAGCAAAGTCTGCATCACCCACATTTTCCAGGTGCTGAAGTTTGTTGCTTCTCTCTCATCCCCACTCCTCTCCTGCAGCCTTCTGTGCTCACCTCCCAAACTCCCAGTTCTCCTCCCCTCTCCCCATCACCCTGATTTCCAAGGCTACTGAGACTCTACCAAAGGTGCCCAAACCTGTACCCCCTTCAGCTGCTTGGTTCTCTGCAAGGAGCAGGGGCTGCCCTTGCTCCTGAATGAGATGACCTGGGCTCAAGGTCACCAGGAGAGCACAGCCAGAGTGGAGCTGCTGAGCTCAGAGGCCTGGGCTGGGGCTCAGGGAGAGAGTGCAGAGGAGGAAAAGTTGCCCATTGCCGGCTGGGAAGGAAGGGGAGGTGTGGTCCCATCCGGGAGCCAGGCTCTCCTCCCTCCCCTTCCTCCCCCAGCCTCTGAATCAATACATTTTGAATCTAATCTAATAACAGAGATTTAACGAGGGGATAATGCGTGTGGAGCCGCCAGGCGCTTTGTCTCCTCTTTCATGCGGCAGCTGGGGCCCATTATCCGGGGACAATGCCCCATGCTAATCACTCCCTCCCCAGTGTTCAGGGAGGGTGGTGGGCAAGAGAGGGCAGCTCCGCCCCCATTGGGAGGGGAGTGGTGGGGTAGGGGTGGCAGATGAAGCTGTGAAGGTCTGGATGGCTCCTATACACTTGATTAGACCTCACGCCAACTCATCGGCCCTCTCCCCTGGCCACAATGTGCACCCTGACCAGTGAGAGAGGTCGGAGGTGGAGGTGGGAGCCCTACCCATGCACAAACCATAGATAATGAATTATCATCAACGGCGGCAGCAGTGCCTGGAAAGAGGGGTGTGTGTGTGTGTGTGTGTGTGTGTGTTGTATTTGTGTTTCTACCTTGGCCCTGTGTGTGTGTGTGTGTGTGTGTGTGTGTGTGTGTGTCTACCTTGGCCCTCTGTGTGTGTATGTGTGTGTTGCTACCTTGGCCCTCTGTAATTTAAGCTTTCCTACTGAGGCCTGTGATTGGCCAGCCCTGACTCTCATGGTTAGATAATTAAACTCTGATTTTAGGGACCAAGAATACATCCCCTCTGAAATAGAACCCTGCTACCCATCCTCTGTTTCTTCCATCTAGAGGTGTGTGTGGAGGTTAGACTGTAGGAGGAACTTCCTAATAATAATATTCCCAGTATGAATTAGGTTAGGAGAGTGAAAGCAAAGGAATGGGATCTCATTTCCTAGAAGCTGTGCAAGATCTTTATTCAGGCTGGGAGAGGGAAGATCAGGGAGGAGAGAAGATCTGTTTCAATGTCCTAGAGTTCCAGTCCGGAAGGAGCCCAGGGCTAGCAGAACGGCCACCTCTACTCCACACTTACGGGGGCCAACATGAGAGTGCCATGTGGAGTGGGGACCTGACACCTGGCCCCAACAAAGCTTGTTGTAAAACCCCAGAGAGCACGTAATGCTCTGTGCCTCAGTTTTCTCATCTGTAAAATGGGATCATATTAGTACCTGGCTCACAGGGGCTTCCACATGGGCCAAGCCCAGGGAAGCTACACGGTTGTGGTGATGGAGGGATAGCCAGTGGCATCTCAGCTGTTCTTGGACGGCCCTGATCACCTTCTGCTTGTGAGAGCCACTCCCGCAGGACAGGAGCAGGGAAGACTTTACCCTGTCTCCATTTTAGAAATGGGCGGGGAGAAATGAGCTGATCACTCACAGTGGCCCAGAGGGGCCAAGGTCCCTGTCCCCACAAGGCTGCTGCACACCCTATGTCCCATACCTTTCTGCCCCTTTGCTCCCATTCAGGGCTTCTTTGCAGAGTCCCTACTGGGAGTCACAGCTTTGGGTCTCTGTCTGGGACAGAGTAGGGCACCTGGGCACCCTTTGAGCCCCACTCCACCCAGTCCTGATCCTAGCTGTATGGCTCCTCTGCAATGCCACCTCCTGTGGCCCTGGGACTGCAAGAAACACTGGACTCTTGGCAGACAGAGACTCTGCGATTAGGACAGCTGGGAATTCATTTGCACAGGCCTGGGCAAACTCCCCTCCCAAGACTCAGAGAGAGCAGCTTGCCCAAAGCCCCTGGAGGAAATGTCAATCCTGGCCAAGGGCCCACACAACCCTGCCTTCTAGATTCTTTCCACAAGGTGGCAGCAAAGCCCAGACGTTCTATGGAGGGGCGTTTGGGAAACGTTTGCTATCCTTTCTTCTCCCACTGAAGGTCCCCATCCCTCTCGAGGGGCCTCTGAAGCACTCTTCCTTCAAGGCCGGCTCTTTCCTGCCGGCCGGCACTGAGGCTCATGTTCTGAGTGCTTTGTATGCTGCTCTGACACTCCCCCCTCACGCTACCATCTGCACGCTGATCCCTGGTTGCTGAGCCCCTGCAATGTGCGCAGGCCCGGCCCTCACACTCAGTTGCTCTCCCTTTTCTGCTAGTGCAATGAGGACACCGATGCCAGACGGTACAGAGGGTGCTTTACCCAAACCCATGCAGGCAAGGCCAATGGGGCCTCCGTTTTCCCTTCTGCCCTGCCTCTATGGCGCCCCCTGCAGCCCGTCTGCATGGGCTTTGAACTGCTCCTCAACGGGCCTGGGGAAAGAAGGCTGAGAATGAGGTGTTACCCGGAGCAGGCACTGGGGAGGACCGGACTCAGTGACAGGCAGGAGAGGGGACCCTCCCCTATTCCACGCTGTGGCACAAGAATGGAGGGATGGAGTTACCCCTAAGTAGCATTTCAATAACACGACTTCCTGACCCATTCTGGGGCAATGCTGGTGACTTTGCTGTTGCCGCCTACAAGCTGTGTGTATTTGTTTCCTGCCAATTCTATAATGCATCACCAACTTAGAACACAAATGTATTATCTTACAGAGCTGGAGGTCACAAGGCCGGACTGGACCAGCCACACTGTGACCCTTCTGGAAGCTCCGGGACAGAATGTGCTTCCTGGGGAGGCTGCTGTATTCATTGACGTGTGGTCCCTTTCCCCGTCTTCAAAGCCAGGAGTGAAATAGCTGCCCTCACCCTTTCCCACCCTTTGCTCTGCCATGCCTGCTTCTCTGATTCTCCCAACTCTCTCTTTCCTTTGTAAAGACCTTTGTGTGGGGCCAATGCTGTGGTGTAGCAGGTAAAGCTGGTGCCTGCAGTGCTGGCATCCCACATGGATGCTGGTTCGAGTCCCAGCTGCTCCACTTCCAACCCAGCTCCCTGCTATGGCCTGGGAAAGCAATAGAAGATGGCCCAAGTCCTTGGGCCCTTGCACCCATGTGGGAGACCCAGAAGATGCTCCTGGCACCTGGCTTCAGGTCAGCCCAGCTCCGGCCATTGCGGCCATCTGTGGAGCGAACCAGAGGATGAAAGATCTCTCTCTGTCTCTCTGCCTCTCCCTCTCTGTAACTCTGCCTTTCAAACAAATAAATAGTTTAAAAAAAAAAAAAAACTTTGTGGCCCAGATCATCTAAAATGATCTCATATCAAGATTCTTCAATTAATTGTACCTGCGAAGTCTCCTTTATCTTGTAAAGTCTCAAAACCACAGGTCCTCTCTCTTTCTCCCTATCTCCCTCTCTCTCTCTCCCCCTCCCTCTCTCTCTGTATCTCCCTCTCTCTTTCACTCTCTCTGTTACTCTGTCAAATAAATAAATCTTTTTTTTTTCAAGAGCCAGTGCAAGAAAAGGGTCTGTCTAAAGAAAATGATTGATCAAATTTAACCACGGTTTATCATTGCTCTTATGCATAATACCGAGGCCTCCCACACAGCAAAGTTGAGGAGTGGCCTACCCCAGGCTCGTTGAATGAAAACGGTAAAACCAACCACACGTTCTGTAAGGCAACACACACTTGTGCACTGGCTTCATGGCGAGGCCTACTGAGCTACTTTACAGCCTGAGGAGAAGGGGAGGCAAGAGAACCGTGGAGCCAGTGGCTCCAGGAGAGCAGCCTAGCAGGAGACAGAGGATCAGGCCCAAAGCTGCGCTGTCTCCTCCCCTGGCCCCACTCCCAGGGGAGAAGGGCAGTTTAGATGCTGGTAGGGGCTTCTGAGGGGCCAGCGTTGTGGTGCAGCGGCTTAAGCCTCAGGCTGCAGCACTGGCATCCCATATGCGCACTGGTTTGAGTCCTGACTCCTCCACTTCCAACCCATCTCCTTGCTAATGTGTCTGGGAAAGCAGTAGAAGATGGCCCAAGTGCTTGGGCTCCTGCACCCATGTGGGAGACCTGGAAGAAGCTCCTGGCTCCTGGCTTTGGCCTGGCCCAGCCTCAGCTGTTGCAGCCATTTGGGAAGTGAGCCAGTGGATGGAAGACCTCTCTCTCTCTCTCTCTCCACTTCCTCACCCTGTACTTCTGCCTTTCAAATAAATAAAATAAATCTTTAAAGAAACGGGCTTGTAGAGGCAAGAAGGCGTGTAGAAGCACTCCCTGGGATGCTGCTTCCTGATGCATCCTCTGTCTGAGACAGGACGCAGAGGCAGGCGACGGTGGGATAAGCCCTCGGGGCCCTTCCTGGTCCGGAGCGGGGACGAGCCACCTTCCCGTTCCTGAACACGCAATCTGGGTCAGGCCCCAGCGCCTCGGGCTGCCGCTCCCACCCGAGGGCTCATTCTTCTGGTTGTCGCTAATGAAAGTCAAATCCATCTGCCATCTGGGTTTGTTATTGGACTTAAAATTCCCACCGGGGTTCCCTCCTAAAAGTCCCCTGAAGGTGAGAGGAGCATTTCTTCTCCGACTTTGGCCGCACCCCGTGTTCGCCTCCCAGTCCTCGTCCCACTTCCGCACTCTCACAACACCTGCACTCACCTGCGTGGCTGGCTAAGCGCGCGTCCTCCTCCCAGCCAATCAGGTAGCGGAGGCAGGTGTGGCTCACCCCATCCACGTGGGCCACACGCAGAGCCGTGCCTGGAGTCCAGGGGCGAATCAGCGAATGAACTGTGGTTGGGGAAGGCGCATCGGAAATCCTCTTCCCCGCGGCTCTCACTGTCACGGCCGGGTCGGGTGGTGAGCAGGGAGGCAGGCCGAAGAGAGATATGGGGCACCCCAGTATCTGTTGGGAGGCCTGAGGCGGCCAGGTGGCCACCGGAAGCCGTGAGGTCACTTCCTCCATTAGCCCCTCCCTCTAAGAGAATGAGTCACGCCCCGGAAGTTGCGTGTCGTGCTCTAGCTGGTCGGGGGAGCCTGTATCAGGGACTTGGCGGGGTGTCACTCAGCCCTGTACCCAGGGCCGGACCTGTGCCTGGCGGGGTAGCAGAGGCCTAATATCAGTGAAGAAGGTGGTAATGTGGATTCATTCCATTGGAATCCCTTTTGGGTTAGCATAGCCGTAAAGCGTGTCAACCACGGCAGGGCACTTCTGTGCAGCCCTGGCACGTGGAGCGCGCGCTGTGGCGGAGCCTGTGCTGGGCCCTTCCTCCCCTGGGACCGGCGCTGGTTGGGCTCTGAGTGTCTGACTCACAGATTCTCTGAGCTGCGCCTCGGGGTCCCGGGCTGCGCAACGGGAAGAGACGCCTCAGCCCCTTGTCCACTGGGAGGTCACGGTTTTCCTCCCGAGGCTCACCTCAGAGGTCAGGAGGATTTCCTGTGGGGTCGCAGGTCAAACACCGCATGTCCTGAGCAGGGCTGCGAGGGGGGACCTGGCCGGGCCTCTGCCCTCCCCGCCTCCGGCAAGAAGGATGGGCTGACTCCAGAGCAGGAAGCGGCGGTGCTGGGCAGGCTGGGTGGGGGCAGGGAGGCCGGCCACCCCTCCTGGGAGGACACAGCTCTGGCAGCTCCTCCTTGCCTTAGCCATTTAGGCGTCCTTGTGGGTGGGGCGGGGGTGCAGTGCGGAGGGGGTGCTGCTAGCAGAGGAGCCCTGCCCCCTGGGGCTGAATCCTGCTAAGCTGAGCTGCATAGACGGGGCCTTTCCAGGTGCGCCCTGGCCTTAGACATCTTCTTCGTTACCAATCTCTTTTCTGAAGGAGAATCCGGTTCACCCACAGAGTAAAAACAATGTGGGATCATTTTACTACAGGGGGACATGGATTGGGGTCTTCCTGTTAGAGTTTGGAATGGAATAGCGATCCTCCTGGGGCCAGGGCCTCTCTAAGCAATAGCTCTTCCTCCACCCTGCCACCCAAGGGGTCTGATGTCAAGGAGAAGGTGGGATGTAGAGTCTGAGTCCTTCTTCAAGGCCCACTGTGGTGCACATGCTGGGGTTTGGGATCAGCCTCGCCACCCCTTTCATTCATTTTGAGCTCCAGCTTTGCAGGGTTACTCTGTCAGGTTGCACAACTCCATTATGTGTGACTGGAGCCCCTGGAGTTAGGCCACTCAGCTTTGCACATGCTGGTCTCTACCTGGGCTGCTATTCTGATAAGTTCCTACTTGACCTATGTGATCTATCTCACTTTTCATCTTCTCTGTGAAGTCTTATTTGTAAGCAGGAAACAGAGAACCGAGATACAGAGAAGGGGAGAGAGAGAGATGGCTCTCCCATTCTCTGGTTCATTCTCCCAGATGCCCACAATGACTAGGGCTGGGCCAGACACAAGCCAGGAGCTGAGAACTCAATCCAGGTCTCCCACGTGGGTGGCAGCGACCCAACCACTTGCACCACCATTGCTGCCTCCCAGGGTCTGCATCAGCAGGAAGCTGGTGTCAGGAGCCAGAGCTGGGCTCCAGTATGAGATGCAGGCGTCTTCACTGGTGTCTGGGAAGTCTGAGTGTTTCCTCTGGGTGTCCATCATACCCACACATCTTCTCTTCTCTGATTACTGCGTGGGATTCCTGTGTGATCATAGGAGTGTTGTCTTCCCCATTGTTCTCAGAATCATAGTCTCCCTCCTGCTCCTACCTTCTGAGCACAGTGCTTGGAATATGCAGGCACTGCGTGAATAATAGTAAGGGATGAGGGGTGGCATTGCACCTGTCCACCATGGCCCCAAGAAATGAGGTGTTTGTGGCAGACAGTGAGAGGGAGCCTGGGGGCCAGGCATGCCAGCACCTGGCTGTTAGTTCTGGGAACAGAACAGGCTTGCAGGAATGCTGGTGTCTCTGTGGAAGACACTTGGAAACTTGTACCTGAATCTTTTCTCCTTAGGTTGCCCGCTGCTGTCTTCTTCTCTCCCTCTTCCCACTGTCCATCCCTGGATATTCTAAAGGCTGTTTTGAGTCCCTCTATTGTAACAAGGAAGTAGCGACTATTACAAGACTGGTTTTACAATGGTATGGAAGCCCCTTTTATCCACTTTGCTGTAAATGGTTATATCTTTCATCCCTAGTTTTCAGGAATATAAAACTTTACAGCGTTTGCTGCAAACCTTCATACTTTGCTTTGCAGTTTATTGCTCCCTCTGCAGATGCAGCTTTCCCATAAATAAGATTTCATCTGTACAGTACCGGGCTTGGCGACAGTGCCTCTCCACAATTTCATCATCAGTGGGACTCAGCCTTGGAGCAAAGGGAGAATCACCCAGACCCACTGGCCTCTGACCAGGGCTGGACCAGCAGCCTTACCATGAAGAGGGTCAAGGACCCCAGGGAGAGGGTGACCCAGTGGGAAATCTTGGAAGGGGTGTTCCCTGCTCACCCATGTTTGGTCTGAGGTTGGCACCCCCGCAGACACTGGCCAAGAGTATTCTGGCTTCTCCCATCCATGGGTAGGGGTCTTCCTTGCACATGGCTAAGGAGCAACAGTAGTAAGCTTAGCCAGAACTCCCCAAAGTGTGCCTGGAGCAGGGCCAAGCCAAGGTCAAGGGCAGGCTCCACCTTGGCCTTCCTCAGGGGGCAGCCTGAGGAGACACTCTGAGCAGAGGCACTATCCAGAACAGCCGTGCAGGACCACATGGTAATTCAGTCCCGAGCTGAATCCTCCAGGTTTGAACTTACGTTCTGTTTTATAACCTGGATGTTTGCATCAAATACAACAATGGATGACACTCCAGTTGGTGGCCAGGAGAATGTGCCTGCCCTGGGCCCCCAACTACAACCACATAATAGATCAAGGGCTCCGGCCACTGCTCTGAAAGCCACAGCAGCCAGCTCGCCTCGCCTCCCGTGGGCTGCTCCTTGCCCGTGACTGAGAGGACCAGGAATGTGGGAATAGGCCTCTTCTGGGGGAGCAGGGGCCTCCTCTGAAGGCTGCTCAGTTGGAGGATTCCCCAGCAGCCTCGCCAAAACTTCCTTCTACTACAGGGAGGTTAGGAAGATCCCATGCAAGCTTCCTTCCCTGAAGCCTTGCGTCTGAATCTGCTGTGGTTCGCTCCCCATCTCCCTTACTAACATCCTGGCACGTGTAAGCCTGTCTTGGCGTCTGATTTCAGAGGAGCCAGAGTGGGGGCACTTTTCACTTCCATACAGAGCAGCATTACCGGGATTCTGCATCTACCTGTTGTTTGTGTAGAAAGCTGTTAGAAAGACACACAGACAGGATGAATAGGTGCATAAATGTTTGTATGCAATGCTGGAAGCAAAGGCATGCATCTCTAGGTATAGACACATAGTAGGAGGGAGGAAATCAACAAACATAAATACACTTAAAATTATACTCATCCAGGGCAGGCATTTGTCAGTGCAGTTAACAGGCCATTTGGGATGCCCATATCCCATATTGGAGTGTCTGAGTTCGAGGCATGATTTCTTTCCTGATTTCAGCTTCCTGCTAATAGCCATCCTGGGACGCAGCAGGTGATCACTCCAGTGATTGGGTCTCTGTATCCCATGTGGGAAACCTGGATGGAGTTCCTAGCTCCCAGCTTCAGCCTGGCCCATTGCCAGCCACTGCAGGCATTTGGAGAATAAATTGGCAAGTGGGAGCTCTCTGTCTCTGTGTCTCTTTCTCTCAGCCTTTGAAGTAAATAATAACCTAAAGGCTTAAAAAAGTATGTTCACCCACAAGTTGGGAACCAATTGCTGATTAATGGTGATGCTCTGTGTGGGAAGAGTAATGGGCGTGCAGCCATAATAATGAACCTTGCATACAAGTCTCTGTTTACACACATGATTTCATTTAATCCTTGTAACAACTTTATGAGAGATAAATTATGATCTCTGTTTCACAGATGTGAATATGGGGGCCAAGAGTGGTATTCCACTAGCCAACAGCAGAATCTGGACTTGCATGTGGATCACTGTGTACAGATGAGGGACAAATGGAATGAAATGGTAAGTTTACTTTGGTTCCAAAAAAAATGAACCCCATGCATAGTTTTTTATGGTATGCATTTTCCATGAACTTTCTGAAGACCCTTCATACATGAAGTTAGACATAATAGGAGTAGGTGGGATAATGAGTAAGTAGAATATTGGAACATATGTGAAGACGGATATGTGGATTAGCAAATAGATGAAGATGTACAAACCATTCCCCCACCATCACCACTTCTTGTCTTTACTCAGGCTTGAGGATGTGGCTGCATTTGAAAACTGAGTTCTGTCTCAGCAAACTCATTCCACTGCTAAGAGCAATCCCCATTCATTGCCTCCTTGTGTTTGCTTTTCACCTATATTCCAGGAAAATCAGCCCCACTCCTTGGAATTAGCTTGAGCACTAGGCATCAGGAGATAACTATATATAATCGCCTTGGTGTACAACTACCTTCACCTCTTGTTTTCAAAAGAAAGCTACTCTTGTGAAGATCAGTAAAGACCATTGTCTAACCCAACAGCCACCTTTCAGGACTCACCTTCCTGGGACTTTGTGCAGGCCTGTCTATAGCAGGCACGGGTGGTTGCCTACCCAAGTTTTCTCCCCTTGTTCACTTCTGATGGACTCTTGATTCTGGTCATGCAGCCTCCCCCTTCTGAGTGGCAATGCATTGCCCCAGGAGTTGAGCCCAGCCCTCTGAGATGAGTCCTCATTAGGCTAACAGTTCTCCAGGTTTGGTCCAAGACCAGTAGCAGCAGCAGCATCACCTGGGAACTTAGTAAAAACTCAGATTCTGAGGTCTTGCCTCAGACCTACTGAACTGGGAGCTCTGGGGGTGGATCCCTCCAGGTGACCCTGAGGCACGTCTGAATTTGAGAACTGTTCGTCTAAGCCAATCGTGAACAATGGCTTTGCTCCCTTTCCCAGGGATTGGATTGGGCATGAATACATGATGGTGTTTTTGCAAATGAGAAGCGAGAGGAACTCTGCTGGGGAAGAGGGTCTTGGAGGGATTTCTTTTTTCTAACAGAGACACACGAAGGTGATCTCTCCTCATTAGATGGATGACATCACATCAGCTGTGTGGGATGATGCCTGGGTCTGCGGTGGCCAGGTCTTAGCATAAGGAGAGCAGCTGAAAGGCAAGCCATAGAAAACTGAGAAGTGTCAAGTCCCCCGAAATGTATGTTGAAGCCCCCACCCCCAGGGCCTCAGAATGGGACCCTATGTGGACACAGAATCACTTTAGTTATACTAAGGCCATATTGGACCATAGATTCTACATGACTAGCGTAGACACACAGGAAGAGGATGGCTGTGTGATGACCATGGTGGGGAGTGGTGCAATTACCAGCCAAGAGACGCCACAGGTTGCTGGCAACCACCAGAACATAGGAAGCCAAGGAAGGAGCTTCCCCTGCAGGTTGCAGAGGGAGCATGGCCCTGCTGAGACCTGGCTTTTGGTCTCCAGACCTGTGAGAATACATTTCTGCTGTTTTGAGTCATCCGGTTCGCTGCGGCAGCCCTGGGAATAAGCATCAGATCTGTATGCTCTATAAACCCACCCTTCCTGGAGGGTTCCATAGACCTCGTGCTATGTGAAACAATCAATTCTCCTGTCAAGTAAGCTGGCTGCATAGTCTTTAGTTTTGGTTTTTGAGTTTTCTGCTTGCAAAGGGTAATTTATCTGCTTCCTGACAGGTAGATAAGCCTTAGGGTCTACCCTCAACCCCTGTCTCCTGACATTACTCCTGGGGAGCTCTCACCTACTCTCATAGCCTCAAATCCACTCAAAGGGCCTCAACCCACGTGGCACTCCCTAATCACAGATCTGGGGTCTATCTAACATTGCCATTTAGAGAGTCCCCCAAACTCAGCATGTTCACTTGCAATTCCCTATCATCCCACCAACCCGTATTTTCTGTCTTCCTTGTTTTAATGCAAGTCAAAATTCAGCTGCCCAAGTAGAACACCTGGGAGCCACTCAACTTCTTTCTCTCGTGTCTGGGACATCCACAAGTTCTGTTGATTCTACCTTTTCCTCTATCATCTAAATCTATCCTCTCCTCACCAACCTCAGTTTTCCCATAAGAATGTAAGTTCCTATCATCTTTTCTTGGGATATTGTTATGTCTAACTCTAGTCTTGAGCAATTCTTCATATTGCTGCTAATTTAAAATGAATCTCACGGGGCTGGCACTGTGGCATACTGGGTAAAGTCTCCGCTGCCTGCAGTGCTGGTATCCCATATGGATGCTGGTTTGGGTTCTGGCTGCTCTACTTCCCATCCAGCTCTCTGATATGGCCTGGGAAAGCAGTGGAAGATGGCCCAAGTCCTTGGGCCCCTGCATCCACATGGGAAGACTTTAAGGAAGCTCCTGGCTCCTGGCTTTGGATCGACACAACTCGTACTGTTGTGGCCAATTGGGGAGTTAACCAGCAGATAGAAGACTCCCCCCCTCCCCCGCCTCTGTCTCTGTCTCTCTGTAACTCTGCCTTTCAAATAAGTAAATGAATATTTAAAAATAAAAATAAAAACTAAAATGAATTCCCTCAAGTTTGTTAAATTCACTTGCAAAATTGAGTCTATAATCTTAATTTTTTAAAGTATTGATTCAATTTCTTTGTAAAATTTTTTTAGCTTTTTTATCTCCTTGAAAGGGAGGGGGGGGTAGAGAATCTATCTGTGATTCATTCTCTGAATGCCCTCAACAGCTGGGGCTTGGCCAGGCCAAAAGCGGGAGCGCTGAGCTCCATCCTGGTCTCCTGCGTGGGTGGCAGGGGTCCAAGGCCTGAAACCATCATCTGCTGCCTCCCAGGATGCATTAGTAGGAAGCTGAACAGGAAGCAGAGAGCCAGAACTCAAACCCAGACACTCCGATAAGGGATGTGGGTGTCCCAAGCAGCAGCTTAATAAGCTAAGCTACAATGCCTGCCCCAATTTCTTTAATGAATATGGGATTTGGATTTTTTTTAATGTTCTTTTTGTGCCAAATTTTCAAGTTATGTTTGTATTATAAATTTTTTCACTCATCTAAACCTTCCACGTTATTGGAATAAAGTTGTTTATTTCAACATCTTCGTATTAACTTCCTAAGGCTCCTGTGACAAAATTCCACAAACCAAGTGGCTTATACCAATCGAAATGTATTGCCCCATGATTCTGAAGGCCAGCGGTCTGAATCGCAGGTGTCGGCAGGGCCACACCCCACTCTGAAGCCTGTAGGAGAAGCTTTCCCTGCCTCTGATGGCAGACGTCAGTCTCTGGCATTCCTGGCTTGCAGTGGCATCACCCCAGCCTCTACCTCTGTTGTCACCTGGCATTCCTCTCCAAGATGACCTCATTGTAACCTGATTATACCTGCAAGGAACCTATTTCTGAAAAAGGCTGTCTTCCTTGGCACTGGACTTCAAGACTTTAGCACACCGTTTTTGAAGGACACAATTCAGCCACTAATAATATTATCATCCTTTTATTATTTTATTACACCTTAATGCATTTATATCAAAATGCTAAAAGCCAAGAAAATCTTGTAAGAAGAATTACAAAATGGGAAGACTCACATTACTGGTTATCAAGACTTATTGCAGAACTACAAGCCAACACTGAAAAATATTCCAATGGAATAAAATAGAAAAATCCAGTAATAAAATAAAAACACATATAGATACTTGGTTTGTGACAAAAGTGGCAACGCATAGCAGTGATTTTTTAAATAGTGGGGGTTTTTTTTCTTTTAAACAAATGCATTGGGTCTCCACATTGGAAAAAAATGATTTTTTTAAAGATTTATTTTTATTTGAAAGAGTTACAGAGAGAGAGAGAGAGAGAGAGAGAGAGAGAGGTTGTCCATCTGTTGGTTCACTCCCCAAATGGCTGCAATGTCAGAGCTGAGCTGATCCGAAGCCAGGAGTCAGGAGTTTCTTCCAAGTCTGTCCAAGCTGCTGCTTGGGACACCCACATCCCATATCAGAGTGAGTGCAGAGACTTAGGTCATCCTTCACTGACTTCCCAGGTGCATCAGCAGGGAGCTGGATTGGAAGTAGAGCAGCCAGGAATCGAACCAGTGCCCATATGGGATGCTGGTGCTATAGGCCGAGGGTTTATCCCAGTGCACCACAGCGTCAACCCCAGGAAAAAATGATCTTGACCCCTACTCTGTATCAGTCACAGACATCCATTTGGATGGATGGCTTTAAGTGGGAAAGACAAAAAGAAAAGTTGTAAAAAGAAATACAGGAGAATATCTTCATGATCTTATAGTAAGCAAAAGATTTTGTTGGTTGGACACAAAAAGCATGAACTCTTGTTGTAGTCTGCCACATTGGCAGCCTACAGTGAGCCACCACGGACTGCACCCACCCCTTTCCTTTCCCTTAAACCCTGGCCTGGGGTCGTGCCTCCTAGCAGTAGGATGTGGCAGCAGTGACGCTGCACCAGTAATAAAGCCCTGAGCTACAGGAAGTGCCTAGCTGAGGATTCAGAACCCTAGTGGGGACTCTTACCCACATTCTTCTAGGCTCTCTGTGGTACATCCCATCATACTTCACATCCTGAAGTACCCCAGGAGCCCAAGGAGGGACCTTAGGCACCCCCAGAAGTCCAAGCCTCCTAGGCCAACCTTTGCCAGTGGTTCACTGGCCCCCAAGCTTCCCAGGTTCCCAACCCCTTTTCTTTCTCTTCTTGAGCTTCCAGTGTACAACCAGCTAACTGCAGCACAGATGAGCCTTCACTCATGGGGAGTTCTGCCCTGAGAAGCCCATCGAAGGGAGTCAGAAACACCTGGACTCCTCCTAACCTGTGGAAGCCCTGACTCAGCAACACAGCACTGGAGAGTGTCTAGTGGGTATGAGTTTGCCTCCAGAGTTGTGTGAACCAGTTCTTTGTTCTCTCTCTCTCTCTCCCTCCTGCCCTCCCTCTCTCTCTTCTCTCTCTCTCCCTTTCTCTCTCTATCTCCACATATCCACACATGCATCCTATTGGTTCTGTTTCTCTGGAGAATGCTAAGACACTTGG